TCTCTCTCTCTCTCTCTCTCTCTCTCTCTCTCTCTCTCTCTCTCTCTCTCTCTCTCTTTTTCTTTTCAAACCTGCTTGGATTGAACACCTGAGGGTTTGTCTTGTCATCACTTTTTCCATACAGCAGGACTTCTTGTGGTCTGATCAGGTTACTTCACTTCAACACAACCATTAACTCCCTTCCTGTGAAATGTAACATTCAGTCTGACTGAGAGACATGAGATTCACACCAGGCTGAGAAATAAAGCAGGTTGTTGAGGAGCTGCCTGCCTGAGTGTTTGTTTTCTCCCTCTCCTCTGGGCGTACCTTTCTGGAAACGGTTTGTTTGCCTTTTGAATCACATGTACAGTGTTGGATCTGAGACTCTCACCACTTCCAGTCTGCCTTTTTATGAGGCATTACTTCAACACCGAAATATTAATAAACAAAGAGAAACTAAAAGTGTACAAACAGAAACCATTACAGTTATTTAATTACATGCTTGTGGCCAGAGGTTTAAACTAACACTCTCACAGGAGCTCAGAGGAAGTGTTGGGGGGTGACTCTTATAGCCAGTTTAGTGTTTGCTGATGTCAATTAGCTGCAACAGGACACGTCTGTTGTTAGTGAAGCTGTTTAAAACCAGTTTCACAGGTGGAAGAGGAAAGTTTTATTTTTGGCTCATCACTTTATCTGACTGTAACAATCTCAGCTGACTAAGATCAGTAGCAGGATGAAGTGACACGCTGCGTCTTGAGGCACACCACTAAATCTGATTTCATATTTGATATCAAAATTAAACATCAACGTATTGTTTTGGTTTTACCATGCAACCAAAACATGCAACAATACTTTTTATATGCATTGCTATTAATTGGGAATACAACTTGTATGCCAAATTAAAAGAAAAAAACAACATTTTATTAAATTTCCATGGCAGAAGATATTAAAAATGCAGGTAAGTCAAAGTTAAAATGTATTGTGGTGTAAAACAAACATGAGTATCATAAAAAATTCTTCTGATTCTTCTGCTAAAAGCTTTGTTTGTTATAGATCACATGACTGTAGTCCTAAGCCTAAATAATAAAACTGTGGTGTAACTTAATTATTGAACATTTTAACAACTTTGGTTGAATTGTTGTCATTTTGGATCAAATAMAGACGAGGTCAGTAATGCAAGTGTGAAATCTGGCTGGATTAAAAAAAGATATAAACTATTTTATCTATGGTTTATGTTAAAGTTTTCATTATCAGAAAGAGCTGATTTAAAAAGTTTTGTAATTGACGACAACGATTTAAAGGCTAGATTTATTCAGCACGTATTTGATGAGCAAATGCACCTTTTTAAAAAAGGATTTTGGAGTAAATTCCTCACATCAGTTGGTGCATTTAAAGACGTTTTTTCACATTAGCTCTGCATTTCCATCTACGTTATAATTTTTAATTGCATTAGTCCCACATGACTGGTTTGATTGAGTTTAACCCRCTGCTGGTTGAGCAGTCAAGTAGCTAACATTCTCAGCCTGAAGCAAAAGCTCAGATCAGCTCAGATTTCTGTTGGATCTGATGAACACGAGAGGAAGTTTTTTTTTAGTTTTGTGGTTCCTGTATTCATCTGCGGACCACACAATAAAGCGTTATCTAGAGGTGGCTGATGCTCGCCCTTTGTGGCACCCCAGCTCAGAGGTGAAACAGAAGAATCAAAGTTGYTGTTTTKTTAAGACTGCAGTGGAAATGGTTACAGTGACTGTGTAAAAGAGAGGAGGGCACTGAAGAACGGTGTGCTTTAGTAAAGCTTGTCAGTCAGCTGATTGTGTGAGCACACGCTGATGTAACCCTGAGCTGCCTCTGTTCGCTCTGCTTCAACTACCTGTGCGTAGCAGTGGAGGCGAAACACTTTCGTTTGGCTATTAGTTCAGGTTTTCTGAAAGGTGAAAACATTTGTCAGTTAATTTGAAGTTTGGCAAATTGGTTAATGCAATGAGTGCTCTCTCTGTTTGTCTATCGAAAATTATTCAAATCTCTAAATTATGAACTTCTTGACTTTTGGCATTTTGAATTTACAAACAGTGTAATCGTAGTCATTTTGAAAATTTCTAAAATGACACTGGTTGGACTTCTTACTGATTTGTCAGTGACATTTCTTTTTTTTTTCTTTTTCTTTTTTTAACATAGTTTTACATCCTGTAAGACAAATATTGCACAAGGCGTGTTATGTTTAATAAAATATAAATTCAGATTATGGAAGGATGAGCTGTTTTTGATATTCTCGTTTAAGTGATGCTGCAGTCAGAGCTCAGTCACTGCTGCTCTCCTGAATGGATTCGCTGGTCAACATGCAAATGAAGCTGAGAGTGAAACCAACATCCTGACTTAAATCAAATGACTCACATTAAGGTCTGACATTCCTGATGGCACGCTGGAGCTTTAATTAGAACATGTTAAACCAAAGAGCTTGTTGTGTAGGATGAGGCAGGGTGGTGGTGGGGGGGTTGCTGTACAGTTTGTTTCTTATTTTAGAGTATTATTGTTGCTGATTCATCCACCGACTTGACTGAAACTCCTCTTCTGCGTGCTCCTCTCATTCCTGCTGGGTCTGCGTATTATTTTGACCTCGGCATCAAGGTGAAATTTCTCTCACAGAGCCCCGTGTGTTTGTACTGTAGTGTTTGCTTTCTTTTTGCTCCGGTTGCCTGAGCGAGCGCCCATGAGGGAGTGCATGGTTAACACAGGCCTGTGGGAGGGAGTAAATAAAAACTCAATGAAACAAGTCGTTAATGACAAACACGGGTTTTTCACATCTACAGCGAAGTGTGCCTCTGTGAAAAACAATGTGATCATAAACTATAAAAAGTATTTTCAAAGTCAAACAATACCTCTCTTATATAATACCAAATAGATTTCCTAAACATGTGCTCACAATCTACATAATATCCTGGTATTTTTACTCACAATAATACTTTTTACGAGTGAAATCTTATTGGCGCGAATATGAATATCATGTGCTCATCATCAGCTTAACTGCTAAAGAACAATTGATCTATTGTTGCAGGTTTTATTGTGATATGCAGAATTTTAATGGGCATAATGACGCACTCTCTTAATAAAGAAACTCCTTTTTAAGGTGAACTTGTTTTAAGGAGAAAATGAGTGCATGGACATTATTTTTTAGCATTTTGCAGTCACCAAAGCAACCATTTTGGTGACAGCCATTTGTACCAGTAGGAGTGCAGATACTTGATGTATGAGTGGCACACTGTGTGTGGTTTATGGCCTTTCAGAGGGCTTTTTGCGTTTCGGAGGTAATGGTAAGTGAAGTGTCTTTTTTTTTTTGTTTATATAGTGGAGCAGAGGGAAGTGAGTCGTCGTGTGTGTGTGTGTGTGTGTGTGTGTGTGTGTGTGTGTGGGGGGGGGGCTTCAATAGTTTGGTCAGGATTAGGACACAAAGTTATTTTTAGACAAGAACAAATTCTCACAATCAGAAGTTAATCATGAAACCTCGCAATGTAGTTTAGTCTCAGACAGAATAATCAGGTGAATCTGTTCTTCGGTGCTTGTATGTCTGTAAATCACTGAAAGTACAGTAAAGGATATTTAACCCTTCAGTTCACTCCTGCGTTGATTGGCTTTTCCCGAGCCCAGTTGAACTGAGACTCCCGTTAACCTGGGCTTATAGGTGTGAGCCGTGTGACCTTGCCGGCTTGATCCCCTGCAGCAGACCGTTTGATTTAAGCTGATAAAGATCCGCAACAAGTGCTCTCACCTCGAGGCATTGTGTCCAGAGAGAAGCAGCAGAGGTGTGGTGCTGATGGTTTGACTCTAGCCGATGGACTCCCTGCTGGAAAACACAGACGATGCGGTGAGCAGCCTCGTGTTAAAGCAGCTTATAGTGTGGTGGTGTGTGTGGACTGTGGAGCCAGTGTGTTGCTGCACTAATTCGGTCTAGTTTTAGACCTTTTACCGTCCCTGCTTCTCACTTGCCTTCTCTATTAGTCAAGGTGGATTTTGGATTTGCTTGTAACTTGCATCTGACTGAGATGTGCTGTAGGCATCTGTGGGGACAGGTGAATGTGGAAAAACTAGATACCACATAGTGGTAACATAATGACCCCCGCACGCACAAATGCACCAGAACTCAGGTCTTTATTCCTAATAAATGTCATGCTACTAGGTGCATCCTAAAAATGTAGTGGTTTGGGTGGGGACTTTTTTTTTGGAGTGGGGGGGCATTGGTTGACCTGATGGATAGCCCCTCATAAGTGCTAAAAAACGAAAGGAATCAGAAGCTCCTATGTTGAATAGTTTTTGAGCAATAACCATTTTTGTATTTCCAGATACCCCTTTTTTTCAGATAAATTGGGGGTCCAGAGGGGTGGGGGCACTGATAAGCATTTTTGCATGTCCAGACACCCCCTCAATGAAAGGAGCCCCTTCCTCAAATATGGGGTGTATTGTAAAACCGTTGGCTGGTGCAGTGTAGGTCGGACTCATCTACAGTCCTGCCAAATTTCATGTTGACTGGTGTAGTCATTTTTGTGCTATGGTTGACCAAAAATCACTGGGGAAAAAAAAACGGTACGAAAACATTATGATTCCCGCTTACGCTTCGCGTGCGGGGGTCATAATAAGTATTGTGTGCAAAAATAACCAGGCAAACAAAAAGTAACACAGCTTATGTGAAATAATAATAGAAAGTTGTTCTTTAGTTGATGGAAAGGAATTAAAAGCCTGATCATTAACACCACGATTCTCTCTTTCTAGCTGCTTAAATGTGAAAATGTATCAGTTCACACTTCACAACAAAACTGAAGCCTTAGAAACCCCTTTTAACTTGTTCTTATTTTGGATAAAAAATAATCTTCCTTAATGTCCTCCTCCTCGGTCCCGTCTCACTGCTTTTTGACCATCGACCATGACTAATGTACAATGAGAGTTTCCCTCTAGTTTCGCCGCTCAGCAGCCATCTGTTGGGGCTTCTGTGCCAAGCTCTGTTTGCCAGAGCGCACCCCCCCATCCAACCCAATCTTCTACCCCAGCTGCCCGCCTTTCTCCCCCAACAAACCCATCATTGTCGCACAAACCTTCCATGCCGGCCTCCTTCACGTGCCCTATGTAAACGAGGGTCTCGGAGTTCATTGGAGTCAGGAGGCGGCGGGTGGAGTCTCTCATTAACCAGTGGACCTCTGTCTCAATCTGAACCTCAGTTTTTAGCCACAGTAACCTCTCTGTGAGCAGACCATGTATGTGTTGATGTTGGGTGTTATTGTTCTGAGAACTTCCCTGGGTTTCAACATGTATGTCTTAGTCTTCTGAGCCAGTGATGATCACAGTCTACATATTAGTCACATTCTTATATTTAGGAAGCATATTTTAAAGCAGGATTAAAAGAGGCTGAGATTGAAGAGCAGTAATGCCTGAACTGTATTTAGGATTACTGTCTTGTAACACTGACATAAATACTGTTGGCCTGAGTTGTGACTGAATGCAGGCCCATCGTGCAACTTCTGGAGCCACGTTTAGCTGATGGTGACATTCAGGATAATTAACTGTGATTCTGGATTTTCTTTTTTAATTCATCAAACTTTTTTTAAATTGTCCTTGTTTTGTTACATTCTTTTAAAATTTCCCTTTTAAAGACTTTTTTAACAAGAAGATGTAAAGCAGGGCTATTCAACTAAATTGCTCCGGGGGCCACAGTTAATGCAGATCAACAGCTGAGGGGCTGAACATCCAGCAAATAAAGTCATTATGTAAATAAACCAAGTATTACAGATATCTGTTACCTTTTGAAATAGCTGATTTTGCTGTGTTTAATCATGAATACAACTTACAGAACCCTATAAAAGTAGTGATAATAAAACAACAAAAACAAAATACACACACATTATGCCTCCTATTTGACACAAATAATATTTTGACATCTCTGACTTGCCAACTGTTTTAAACCAATTTTATTTTCACTTTCATAGTTTTTATATTAAACTGCTTATAGTTCTAATTGTCTTAGATATTCATAGAAATGTTTTTTACTAGCTTGTAGCCAAGATTCTGACGTTTCTGTAGATACCAAACATGTCTATGTTTAACTAAAAGAACTTACAGTAATTAAAGTAGAAAACTGGGAGTTTGGGCTTAAAAGATGAATGAACCAATTAGCGCGCCGCATTTTGGTCACTTGCGGGCTGGATGTGGCCCACGGGCCGCGTGTTGAATAGCCCTGATGTAAAAAGTGTGAGCTTTTAAACTTTGATAAAGTGAGAAATTGTGTGAAAATAAAATAATTTTGTAATTTCAGCTTGATAGTTTTTAAAGTTTAGGACTTGTTTTTTAACCTCATTTCAAAAATGATTCCTCTCAGTTTGGGGCAGGTGTTATCTACGTCATACAGATTCTGTTTAATATAATTATTAGAGAATGATAAAAAATAACATTTTAAAAGCTACATCTACATGGAATGTAAAAAAGGAAATATGGAGCTTTATTGTGTTTCTGGAGCTTCAGCACAGGTGTGGACCTCTAAGAGGACTTTTTGTAAAATGGAGCTAATGAACTAAATTGATTAAAATATCCTCAGCTGAGATGTTTTGCTTTAATATTAAAACACACTTGATCTAAATAGAGGAAATAAGTTACTTTACTGGCCATAAAGACCGGATGTGATCCTGTATTTGGTGTTTTACAGCACCTGAAATAGTTTAAAACTAGGAGGACACAGACGTCCTGCACGTGTGCTKTTGTCCCTGGCTTCCTGTTGTCTCAGCTGTGCTGGTTTTACCTGCTGAACTGGTTGCAGAGCTGTTTGAATCGTCTTGACATGACGCTGAGTCTCCCTTTCTCGCAAGTTTATTATCGCCGTAATACTTAAAGGGGTGTGACCCACTTTTTCAAGGTTTGACCCAAGCTGGCATAGAAAGCTAAAAACCACATCCGCTGAACCTGTTTTACTTTACTGAACTAACAATGTGTTTCTGTATTTAAAATGCTGAATCTCCAATTATGTATTAAATGCACTGGTTCTAATGAGGGTCTTAGGTTAGATGATTTTAAAAAAGTGAAAAGATGTAACTAGCCTTCAGTTATTTTAAAACTTTGTCAATGGAGTGAGTACATTTGTATAATTATGTCATTTTGTTATTTTGTTTTTAAAAATGATGGACAAACACACACGCACAGATACAGGCAATATAGTACATGGTAACACTTTTTATGCTAAGAGGCCATAATAATTAGACACAAAGTTGTTATGGTCATTATTCCATATRAGCTGTTTTCTACACATTTTTTGAAGTAGAGAGACCCAGCTCTACTTTTACTCTGACCATCTGATGTTCCATTTTAACAAAAAAAATGTACAAAACGTGTAAAACATTTCAAACACACATCCCAGAAATGGCATGCAGTGTCATGAGAACGTCTGTTCTCGGTCGGTCCAATAACAGATTGTTGCGTTGAAGACTGAAGATGTTCATTAAATGACACAAACTCTTTTCTTTTTTCAGCTCAGCAGCATCAGCAAAGCCATCAACTCCACAGAGACACCTGTGAAGGAGAAGCATGCTCGACGTATCCTTGTTTCAGCTTCTTAAGTTTGGGCAAAAAACAAACAAACAAACAAACAAGAAAACTTGGAAGTTTTGTCAAGATAATAAATAAGAAATAAACAAGACTCAGATCATTTATAAGCAGTTTTTTGTTACATTCTTTGACCAGAAGCTAATGAATCTGTTGCCTCCTGGCTGAGACTAGGACGTCTGCCCTTCCATTTAGTTATAAACTGGAATTTATTGCAAGTAAAGAGATTATTTGTTGTCATTTTAAGAGTTGAAACTGGTTAGTTTACAGTTGTGGTTCTTAACGTAGTAATTTGAACCATTGGATGTGGTAAAACTTGCTCTGTGGGTCGATCTGTGCGGAAGAAATTAAAGCTGAATCTCTTACAGCCACAAACATGTTATCTTATGAAACTGGGATAAAGTGTTTATAAATTGCTTTCTTTCCTGGCAACAACAGTGACTTATATATAGAAAAAAGCTTCAGTCTGGAAAAAGATTTATTAGACGTACAGTATTTCATAAAAGTTAAAAGTTGTGATTTAGTTGTAAACATTAATGGACATAAAAGCATCGAGCAGCTGGCAAATTACAAATGTTAGTTAAAAAATATCTGTAGGGTTTGATTTGTTTCATAGCATCACCAGAAGTTGAGCTTACTGTAACCCGTCTAATTTAAAATGCAGCTCTTTGGGACTTGTTGGTTTTCCTCCTTAATGATGAAAACAGGAATCATCCTGGGTACTCACAGGGAGAAGGGAGCCTACACCTTCTGGTCCTACGCTCAGGGTTTCCCTCTGACTGGCAGCTCCATCCTGTGCTGGAAGTTCTGCAACGTTCTGCACAAAATACTGAGAGACGGGCACCGAAATGTAAGGAACCAAAGACTGTTTTTCATTCTCCTTATCCTCTGCCAACATAACTAAAGTGCTGATTGACTTTTCTAAAAGTTGTTGAAATTTGTTATAACATTTATTGACATAAAGCTGAAACTGAGTTGTTAAATGGGGGGTGGTATGTATTTTCCAGGCACATAGTTACTTGATTGTGGTACAGAATCTGTTTCCTTCAGTTGAAATGAAAATGCTATATATATATTAAAAGTTAATTTTACTTCACTTCGTAGCCTATCTAAACGCCTTGAAATTGGTCTCTGTCTCTTTAAGAACCCCCTTCCGTTTCAGACACTCCCACTTCAGCATGTCTTCACAACAATGCTTTGGGTTCTCTGTGGGGCGGGAGCTCAGCTACAGACTGAGCTCTAGGGAGGAGCTTTGTGTAAATAGGCGGTGCTTTGTACCAACAAGTGTTGAGGCAGCTCCCCATGACTGCAACAGGATATTCAAGGATTTCTTAAACATGCATGAATGAGTGAAAACACCACTCTGGGTATGTTTATGATGAGGGAATGAGATGACATTGATTTCAAAAAAGTTGATTTGGAGTTAAAACCAACAGAACTAAAGGTGAAGGAATTAGCAGAACAGTAGCTGAAGGCTAAAACAAGCAAGCAGGGAAAAATGTAAAAAACATGTTAGCTAAAAGGCAAAATAAACCAAAAGGTAATTAAAACTAAAATGAACAAATAGCTAAATATTAAAATTAACTAAACTGTAGCTAATAGCTGAACAGGGTAAAACTGTAACTAAATGCTAAGATTAACAAATTTGGAGCTAAAAGACAAACTTTGCAAAACTTAATCTCAAAGATAAAACCAGCAGAACTGTAGTGAAAAGCTCAAATCTGGAAAACCGTATCTAAAATGAGCAAAATAGTAGCTAAAATAAGAACAAGAAAGCAAAACTAGTGCAGGCATCTAGAAGCAGATTTGAGAAACATTTAGGAAAGCTGCCTGAGCATTCACACATGCTGTTTGAAATGTAATGGTTTGTTTTTTTTAATCTAAATAGTTTCTGAAGTTGTTTAATTTGAGCCGTTTATCCAACCTTCACAGGTTCTTCAAGACTGTATGAGACATCACAGTTCTCTAGTTGAAATTGGACAATCGTGGGTGAGTCCCTGTGTGGTCTTATGACTTCTTTTAATGTAGAGTTTATTACAAAAGTTTAATCTTGCTTTTCTGCTCCTGTGTTTGTTTGTTTTTTAGGGCCATCTTCATGATAAATATGGACAGCTGGTGGCTTTGTACACCAAGCTGCTCTGCACAAAGTTGGAGTTTCATACAAAGGTAAATGTATTTAAAGCCACTTGTCTCGCACATTTATTGTGGCGAAAAAACTGCGCTGTAAATTCAAAACTGTAACTTTGCATCAATGCAGCATGCAACAATCCCACCAAACCTGGAGGTCACAGATGAAGTCCTGGAGCGAACAGCAGGAACGGATATTAGTGATGTGTAAGTATCAAAACACTGTAAAATATAAGTCGATTTAAGTATTAATTGTAGTAAACTTCAGTTTTTAGCAGCACAAGCCTTGCTGCTTTAGATTTCATAGAGTCAGGTGTGTCTCAGTGGAACTTGTTTTTGTCTAACAGAGCTATGGACTTCTGTCCTGCAGGTTCCAGCTCACCGTGGAGGTGTTTGATTACATGGACACAGAGCTGCGGCTGGCCGAGACAGGTGAAAGCAAAAACTCCTCCCACCTTTTACCTCTATCCTGCCTTTCCAAGCAGGAGAAACCTGAGCTACAGGCAACGACTGCTGCCTGCAGACATTATGTATTCATGCACAAAACAGCCAAGAAAGCTTTACTGCGCAGCCTGTTTTCAAAAAATGTAGTTTCAGTAACTTGGTAGAGTTTAAGCTCCACCTTGACTGCTTTTGTTTGTTGTTTTGCTGATGAGGAAATGCCTGCAGTGAGAACTCATTAGTGATTTCCTCTCATTTTAAAGTAATTACATGTTCCTGCAGGGTGGAGGCTCAAGATCACAGCAACAGAAACAGATTTTGCAACCTTTCTGTGAATGACATTTGGTGTTCTCAAAGTCCACTGTTTTCTAATCATAAATGTGAAAACAGAAAATAATTAGTCTTTTTATTGGAGATTGTTATCACTGAGTGAGAGCATTACAAGGACTTGACACGTTTCAATTACCTAGCAGCGCTTCATGTCCTGCACCAGAACTAAATTATCTGTAAATGTTAGATCAGTGGCAGATGAATCACATCAGATACTCAAATGTGTTCCTGTCTGAGTTTTTATATTTATAATTATTTTTCCTGCAGTCTTGCGTCAGCTGAACTCATCCATCGCTGTTACCAGCCTCACATCAGGCCAGTGTCGCCTGGCTCCACTCATCCAGGTCATCCAGGACTGCAGTCAGCTCTACCACTTCAAAGTCAAGCTGCTTTTCAAGCTGCATGCCTGTAAGAACCATTAACGCTCAGAATTTTGGACAAATATTTATACATGAATATAAATCATGTTCTTATTGCATCTATATTACCTCGTATTTTCAGGTCTCCCCGCTGATACCTTACAAGGACACCGCGATCGTTTCCGCGAGCAGTTCAACAGGTGAGTCGTCTGTTCAATGTGTGAACGCATCCGTCGTCTATTTTTAACCAAAAGAGGTTTGCAACGGAATCTTTCACCTGGTAACCACAGCATCACCACATCCTGTCCCGCCTCCACATTGTCAGTGTTGCCATCATGTTTTGTGCTCGTGGCTTTGAGTCACAGAAAGTCTTCACAGACTGCAGTTTTAAATGTATCTAATGCTCAGTGAGTTTTCTCCTTCCACCAGTGTAAAATCACATTTATGATGTGTAGATTTTCTTTTTTAAAAAAGTTGTTTTTACTGGCACTCACTGCAACATTTTGTGCATGAATTTGAAGTGTGTATAAGACAAAGTTTAACTTGTTTTCCCCTCTTGTAACAGCCTTAAGAGCTTCTTCAATAAAGCCAGAGAGATGGTGTACTTTAAGAGACTGATCCAGATTCCCCGGCTGCCTGATGTAAGAGCAAAACTAGAATTCTCCTGGTTTAATATTTACCCGTTATCATCACTTTGTCTTGCAAAGACGGCAATAATCTGCTCTATTTTAATCAAATAGATTTCATGTTACCTGATCTTAATGCTGTAGTCTCACTGGTTTTAATGTGTGTCCTCCTCCCTCAGTCTCCACCTAACTTCCTCCACGCAGCATCGCTGGCCAAACACGTGAAACCAGTGGTGGTCATTCCCGACAACGATGAACCAGAGCAACAGGAAGACGACGACGACTACGAGCCTGAGCCGCTCATCGAGGTCAGCAACGCCCCGGCACCCATCCAGTCGCAGCCGCAGGTACGGTCACACCACAGATGCTCAAACGTAGCTGCGTAATCTCTGTCATTAAACTGTTTCCTGTTTGTTTTTAATTCAGCAAATGGACATGTTTGATCAGGCGTTTGGACCACCAAACGGAGGCTTTGACGACAGGTGAGCTGGGATGCTTTTCCACCAAGGAGGTTCTGTGGAACAGCTGGAGTGAGCAGAAACCAAGTGACCGTGTGATCGGCTGCTGAAGCTAACGCAAAACAGTCAAGAGTCAGGATTTACCATGACTGTACATGTTGACAACAGAGCAGGAAAAAAGGACTGATGGTGTAGAAATTATAAAAACTATTAGTATTAATATTAACCCAATTATTATTAATATTTTACAGTTTATATAATCTATCTGTTTTAAATAATGTCAGAAAAGCTGTTTGTTATGGATTTATTAACAGAAGATAAACAGGAAAACATCTCATTTTACAACACAAGTCAGCAGATTTGATCTTATTTAGCTCAATGTGATCTGAGCAGAACATAATGTAACAGTTTAAAATTAAAATCTTATAAAGTCACTGTAATCACTGTTATTTATTGAACTGGTTAACAGATATTAGCTTGTGGAGCATAAATACAGAGTTTAGCACTGCTGAATCATGCAACAATTTAACAAACTATTAAATATTACTTTGTCCTCTGATTAATATTTAGACCTACAGAGTGTAAAATAATATTATAAATGTGAGTATTTTTAGGTTCCTGTTAAGAGGAACCTGACTTGTTAAGAAGATGTTAGCTAATAGAGTAAGTTTCATCCTATAACCAGAGAACATTTTCTAACTGTTGACTGGTAAATATAAATATTCTTATTTTTCATGACAGTGAGAAGAAATAATAAATATATTTTATTACTAGCTGAAGACATCATTTTTCAACTAGCTAAAGTCTAAGTTACAGGCTGACTTCAGGTCTGGTTTAGATCATTGTTACTTATAAATTATATATTTTTCTGGTATAAATCTGCTGTTTTACATGATTGTTGAATGAATTTAACATAATTATTAATTTATTGTAAAAACATGACCGATAATCTGTGAAACAGATCCAGTTCAGCTTGCTGTTTATCTGTTAGTTTCAATGGTGGCTGTGAGCCGTTGCCCTTTTTGGATGCAATTTCTGCTCCTCCACGCTGTCACAGATGCTAACAGTGGACGGTATGGGTGGGGCTCAGTCTAGTGATCTATATTCAAGTCTATGTTTTCCACACACATTGAGTTGTTTGGTTTGTGCGTGGGAGCGTGGCGTGACGATGGACTTTCTCTCTGGCAGGGATCTGCAGATTGACAGCCTGAGGTCGAACCTTGAGATGCTGAAAGCAGAGCTGGAGAGAGTCAAAACGGAGGTAAGGGCTTCTGTGTATCTCGATGCTTAAATGTCAGGTATCTTTTTCTGTTTGTGTGGCAACAAAGGGCCCGGTGAGCTGTGTGTGAAGGAATCTGGGTCATGTTGCTCCTGAGCATGTAGAATGTGGCAAGTAGCCTCTGAATGAGAGGTGATGAGAGTCCACTTCATACAGACGAGCAAAAAGTATCATTGCTCTACTTTTGCTGCAAGCAATAATGGAAGTAAACTTTTTTTTATTATATTATGCACACTTGCAGGCTCAGCGCTACGTCACACAGCTGAAGTCCCAGATCAACAGTTTGGAGGCAGAATTAGACGAGCAGCGTGTGCAGAAACAGCGAGCTCTGGTGGAAAACGAGCAGCTGCGTATGGAGCTGGAGATGACCCGCCGCCGCAACGTAGAACACGAGAGCTTACAGTCCACTTTCATGGAGGCAGAGAGTGAGCATCTGTTGCAGCCACAGCACAACCGCTATGTTTTAAAAATAAAAAAAGATAAATTGCTCTCCTCGTGTCTTGTGCATGTTTATTTTTTAGAACGGGCCCAGGCCTCAGAGCAGAGGTACAACATGCTGAAGGAGAAGCACACCGAGCTGGTGGGCAGCCACGCTGAACTGCTCCGCAAGGTACACACTCCAGACCGTTCCTGAGATGTCTGCTTTCAGTTACCCTTCAGCACCTGGACTTAATTGTGTTTACTGTGCCAACAGAGCGCAGACACTGTGAAGATGCTGTCGGCCACCCAGCAGACCCAGGAGGAAGTGGAGAGGACCAAAATGCAGCTGTCCTTCGAGGTGGAGCGGATCAAACAGGAGGCGGATCTGAAGGTCGGTTCTGATTTTCAGCAGCACGGTTGGATGCGAGTTATAGATTTCTAACAAGCAGCTGCTGTTTCTGCAGTTGGAGGAGCAGAAATTTGAGATGGAGAGGCTGAAAAGAGATGTGGAGGAGAAGACGGCAGAGGTGACTCGTGTCAAGGCGACTCTTCGGAGCAGCGAGATGGTGAGCGGGCTTCATCTTCACCGTCTTCTCTCTCTGGACTTTCCCTCCTTCCTCATTGCTCGTGTTGTTCTTTTTTTTTTTTCTTTTGCAAGACATCGTTGGAAATGAACAGCTCAATGACAGCTCTGCAGGCGGAGAAGGAGCGTTTGTTGCGCTCTGTGAGTGAGAAGGAGGCGGAGCTGTCGTCTCTGCGGCAGACGTCGCAGCTGCAGCAGTCGTCACTTCAGCAGGAGCGAGACCGGAGCAGCAGGGAGCTGGGGGAGCTGCAGGGCAAACTGGAGGAGAAGGTCAGTCCGGACGGATGGTGGAGTCCAACTCTGCAGTGCAAACATGTCTCCTCTCTAATATAATAAGGATACTCTAAATGTGAAATCCTTCTGTTGCGCAGATTTTATGCATTATATGGATCATTTTTGCACTTTGGGGGAAATAACTAGACGCTTTAGAGCTTTAATGTAGTTCACAGCGAGTACATCTGATTCTGCCGAAATAAAAGCTCTGAAGAGATTTTCACAAGCATCTCATCTTAAGACAGCTGCATCTGAATAAAGCCTTTTGATCRTAGGGTCAATAGCTGGAGAGTGGCCATAGTGTATTAAAAGAATCAACATAAAGCAGTTGTGCTTCTAAAATGGAATCAAAGAAAGGCTTATTGTTTTTCAAGGACTATAAAGCAGAAACTGGATGAATGAGCATCTTTTATCCTGGTTTACTGGATTTCATCCTGTCACCGCACTCAAGCAAAGAAAGAATACACATTTTTCATTTTGTTTTATTGGAAATTAAAAAAAATTCACAATAAATTTTCACAATATTGGGTATGGCAAATCAATTCCATTAAAGTAATTTTCATAGGTTTTTACTGAAACATTCTGAGAATGAATGACATCACTTGTGTCCATTTTAGAGGCATTTGAATCTAGATTATAAAATGTATTTTACTGTAATTAATGTTATATGAAGTGATTCTGTAAAAATATTTTTGTAGCTAAAGAGTGAATTTCAAGTGCAACACACTGTTCCGAAACACCATAACATGAGCCAGACAAGAAACATCAGTGAGAAATGCAGATGTTCCATGATATTTTCTAAACAGCTTTGTCCAAAACATCAGCTGACACAGTTCAAATGTCTTGTTTGGCGAGTATCCAAAGGAAACCAAGCGATGTGCACAGCCACTCAAACCGGTCATGATGACGTTTGCAATATTCAAAACTACTGTTGTAACGACGGAAACCTTCACTGCATCTGAGATGTCAACTTTTTTTACTCTCAAAATGACATTTCTTGAAGAAAAAAAATAAATTCTGACAAGTCACATGTTCATCTGGACTAATGGATTGTTCATTTAAAAGCTTTAACAGCTTCCTGTTTTTTCTTTCGACATTCAGACGGAGTGTCAATAAACAGATACATACATTATACCTGCTGTACATCCATCCGTCCATTTTCTATACCTGCTTTTTCCTTTGTGTCATGGGAAAGTAGTTTCCTTCTCCAGCTGTCACTGCGAGAGGTGGCTCCACCCTGGATGGCTCACGAATCCATAACAGAGACACATTAGTTCTTTATTTTCATACCTTATCTACAGAGGCATTACCTACAGTTGTCATGGGTGAAATGTCTTTTTTAGTTTCTTTTTTGTGTTTTTTGTATTGTATTACTAATGGGTATTGGAAATACTTAAAAAAAAACATATTTTGGCATGTTACAGCTAGGGAGGATAAATATTATACGTGCTTACATGTTCTGTTGTGTGTATTTTTTGTGGACCTACATATAGACTAGTCAAGAAGAGCTGATGAAGAAGAAGCTTCTGGATGAGCAGTTTGCTCTGCTTCAAGGCACCATAACAGAAGCTGAGAACATCATCCAAGATGCCGTGGCCAAGCTGGATGATCCCCTCCACATWCGCTGCACCAGCTCTCCAGGTCTGACTCCTCCTTTAGTAGGATTTAACACGGCGGTGCATTCTTTTAAAAACCTTTTATTTAAAAAAGAATCTAATCAATCCTCTGGCTTTCCTTCAAACACAGATTACCTCATAAATCGAGCAGAAGCCACGCTAAGCTCCATCGACAAAGTGAAAAGGGGCCACGCAGATTATCTGTGCAACATGTCTGGTGAGCCTCTCCATCTTCTGAGTCGRCTTGACCTCGACAGGCTTTCAGCTTTTGTGTGCCAACGCTTTCTTCCTTCGTGCTTTTGAAACCAGATGCTGGAGGGCTGCTGAGAGCTCTGACCCAGTTCTCCCACTTGGCCGCTGACACCATCGTTAACGGCAGCGCCACTGCGCACATGGCACCCACTGATCATGCAGATCGTAAGGAGCACGTTCTTAAACAACTACATCGTTGAAAATTAAAACTTAGTTTGGTATTTTTAGCTCTGCAGAAGCAACATTTTAATGAGTGTTGTTACTAAAAAAAAGTGCAGTAAGATGATGTCTCATATTTGCCTCTCTGCAGGACTGACAGAAAACTGCAGAGGCTGCGCCAAAGAGAGTCTGAATTACCTGAAGGACCTGAAATCAAAAACCAGCCTTCAGAAGGCAGATCCAGCTTCTGTTCGCRTTATTGTACAGAAGATCCTGCATTTGGGCCAGGTGAGAGCATCTTTGGAGACATCAGGGACAAAGCCTCTGGTGCAGAGCGTTRCACTTGACATTTTTATTGTAGTGTTCTGTGTGTCCTTGTTCTGCTAGAATATTATGGTGATTATTTTCTTTGAAGCATTTCTGATTTAGTTTCTGCTTTTAAGTCAACTCRTATAGTCTGCTGCAAACAGAAACTGGTGAAACATTATACTTGAAATYTTAGAAGTTCTTTACAAATCCTGGTCTGTTTTTAAAAGTCAGCAGTCCAGCACTAYYTGTAGATGTCATATTGGTTTGTTCRTTAAATTAAATCCAAATGAAATCTTACTTAAATCAGTTACATTTTCCTGAAAAGTCCCAACATTATTTTTAATTGAAGCTTAATGTGATAAWTGTTGTAGGTTTACAGATGGATTAGCTGTCTTAGCCTAGCTTTCATAAGAAAAAAATAAATAAATAAAATGCGTAAATAAACTTCCTGTATATGGGGACTTGGTTATTTGATCACATGTGGAAAGTTTGTGATAAACTTAGTTCACCTACGACATCAGGAGTCTTTTCAAGTGTCTGGCTGTGATCAGATCTAATGTCCTGCCTCCACTTTTAATTAATCAAACCTAAAATCTGTCAAACAGCCAGGTTTAAATCATCAATCAGGACACCAAGAGGTCGACTGTTTCTGAATAATGTGTGACCMATYACATCGAAACGAGGATTAAGTCTAAAAGTTGTATGTGGAGAAATAGGCAGATACTGTTTTGATTAAAACACTTGCAAAAATTACGTTTTGTCAAAATATAACAAATGTGTTATCAATGTATAATTTTTGAACCACTTTTTTGAGCATTAGCAACCAAAAACCCGATTTTGAGGAAAAACTCCTTAAAATGTTGAGATTTTCAATGTAAGCTTTCAAAGCTTTTGTTTCTTTCCAGCTGGGAAATCTCAATATAAATACTGTTTGAGGTTTCTTTTTTTCAAATGACACAAAAAAATCCTCATTAAAATGACATAAAATTAGGATTTAGACCAAATACTTATGTATTATTGTAACCAACAAGACAAATTAAATAATATCTCTGGATCTACTATTGATATCAGGATGATCTAAGTATCAAAATGTAGCTTTTAAAGYCAGGAATCTGAAAATATGMTTAGGTAATTTTGACCAAATTTGACATTTCCAAATTGCTCATTTCRATGTGATGGGTCACATATGAGAATATACAACATTTTGGTGCATGCCTGCTGTGATAAAGCAGCTTTTAAACTCTAGATTCAATCAGGACCAGTATCTGTGCACAAACGTTAAAAAAAATGTTTTCTTTTTCTGTTCAGGAGCTGAGGCCCAAAGGAATGGACATCCGTCAGGAAGAACTGGGAGATCTGGTTGATAAAGAAATGGCAGCAACATCGGCAGCTATTGAAGAGGCAGTACGCAGAATTGATGTAAGTGTTGAAATACTTTAATCTGTACAAAACCTGTGTTGTTGTTTTTGATTTTAAGTAATTAAACAGTGTATTGTTTCTGAATAACTTTAAATGCATTTGGATTTAGGAAATGATGAATCAGGCACGAAAAGACACATCAGGAGTTAAACTGGAGGTCAATGAAAGGTTTGTCTAATATTAAAATGTTCTCACTAGATACTTTTAAAGATATAAACAGCTGTTTGAATTTTAAACTGAATCAATTTCTTTTTTTCTCCAGAATCCTCAATAGTTGCACGGATTTGATGAAGGTAAATTAGGTTTTTCTCCTTTCAAATATCACGATTATTGTCGACTAATTAAAAAGTTCATGCGTTATTTTTTTTTTCTAATTTTGTTTTTCTCTCAACTGCTGCGGCACCTTCCACTGCCACATCTGCCTTTCTGTCCTTGACAAACATGCCAGTAGTGGTAATGAGGGCTGCCACAAACGATTATTTTTATAGTCAACTAATCAGTGTTTAAAAAAAATTAGAAAAAAACAACAACAATGCATTGACTATTAAACTAGTCATTGGCGATTTTAATAGTTGACATAATCRTGATTAGTAAGCTAATCGTGGCAGCCCTAGTTCCACATGATCATTAGATATCTTTACTGTAAATTTGGAAAGTTATCCAWATTTATTTTTTGTCTCCCTCAGGCCATCCGTATGCTGATCATAGCATCCACAGACCTGCAGAAAGAGATTGTCGAGGGTGGGAGGGTGAGTCACGGTTCTAATTTTAAACCCAAAGTTGGTTCGTTTCTCAAAATGCTGCAAAATGATTTCTCCCATAATAAAATGATGGTTATTTTTTTCTTTTTAAAGGGTGCGGCCAGCATTAAAGAGTTTTATGCCCGAAACTCTCGTTGGACTGAGGGGCTCATCTCTGCTGCCAAGGCTGTCGGATGGGGAGCCACGGAGTTGGTGTAAGTTCCTATGTGTCTTGTTTGGTTGCAGCAGAATGCAGTGAGTGATCTGCAGATGTCGTTGGGCATTTAAGTGTTGCGGTCAGCAGTCTGTGTGCAGAAGTGTGATTTAAGTGGTGGTGTTTTACCTGCTTCCTTGCAGAGAGTCTGCTGATAAAGTGGTGCTGCACACGGGCAAATATGAGGAGCTGATTGTCTGCTCTCATGAAATCGCTGCAAGCACAGCACAGCTGGTCGCTGCTTCAAAGGTAATGGTTTGATATGTAAGATGTATAGGGTTTACAGTTCTTAAAGTGCATATAAAATAACTACTATGTATATCCCAACTGTTGTGATAAAATGGTGGATACTGAAAAGTAAAGTTCTTTAAAGCTGTCAAAATACACGATTTGTTAATGTTTTTTTATTTAAAGTTTTATTTAAAGTTTCTAACATGCGCAGTGRCTAGAACTGTTGCTTCTTAGCAAGAATGTTGCCAGGTCTGATATTAGCTGAGGGCCTTTCTGGGTGGAGTTTGAATTGAATGTTCTGTCAGTGCATGCGTGGGTTTTCTCCTACAGACCCAAACAATCATTTAAGRATGCACAAATTGTGTTAGAAATAATTGGTGTATCATTAAATGATTGTTTGGGGGGTTGTGTAACTCAAGACTCATTATTTCTGCAGATTTTGCTCATTTGTCGCAAATTAGTAGTGAATGATGTRGTTATATTATATTTATTTTTAGTGGTTATTTTATCTTAAATGGCATCCATCCATTTTCTGTACACGCTTCTTCCTTTTCAGGGTTGCGTGGGTCACTGATGCCCATATCCAGCAGTCACAGTGCGAGGGGCGGGGTACACCCTGGACAGGTCGCAAGTCCATCACAGGGCCACACATAGAGACAAACGAGACAAACAACCATTCACTCTCTCACTCACACCTAGGGACAATTTAGAGTTATCAATTAACCTAACAGTCATGCTTTTGGTCTGTGGGAGGAAGCCGGAGTACCCGGAGAGAACCCACGCATGCACGGAGAGAACATGCAAACTCTACCCAGAAAGGTCCCCGGACCGGGATTTGAACCGGTGACCTTCTTGCTGAGAGGCATCAGCTTTACCAACTGAGCCACCGTGCCGCTTAAATGGCAAAAAAGTATAAAAATTTCAAATCAAAAACTTTAAAAAATCCTATATTTTGACTGTTGTTACGGCTTTAATGTGGGAAATTTCTTTGTAAAATAACTAAATATTAGTTCATGCAGGAACAGTTTGATTTATTAATATTTATTATTTTACTACTCGGCACTTAGTTTTTAATTGAAACTTGGATAGAATGATAGTTGGTTTGGTGTCTGTTTTAGAAATTAGGTTTTATTTTCAGTCTAATCCTGAACCTAAGTTGATTTAATGCAGAATTAATTTTTTATAGATTTATAACAGCTGTGTTGTTTTTTTTTTTAATGGAGCATTAAGAGCTATTTATCTTAAAGGAGTGAAGAAATGTATTCATTTTAAAGATCAAATGAATAAAGGTGCAACAAATCTCTTTCCTTTCTGAACTGGAAAACCCAAACTTTGTTCCTTAAACCTGCTTTCACCAATCTTAATCTCTGTCTGTTCCCTTCAGGTCAAGGCTGATCGCAGTAGTACGAGGCTGACTGTTCTCCAGCAGGCCTCTCGGCACGTCAATGAGATGGCTGCTAATGTGGTGGGCTCCACGAGGACCGGCCTGGAGGACCTGGACGATAAAGGCGAGTACAGTTTGATATGTTTTTAAAGGTAATTACAAGCTTTGACAAACTTCTAACAGTTTCTTGTATTATGTTCTGAATGAGCAGACCCCATGGACTTCTCTGGGATGTCTCTGATCAAACTGAAAAAGGAAGAAATGGAGTCACAGGTAAGTTGTGTGTTCATGAGGGATGATGGCAAACGATGCATGTGGGTGTGACACGTACTTTAACTTTCACATTTATTAGGTGTTTCTTTTAAAAAGTCTAACTGGTTTGACGTGGATTTTGTTTTAGCATGGGTTACTTTATTCCCCAGAGGGCTATTTTGACTGGGTTAAAGGAAATAAATTGTCTCATTAAATAAAAAATGGGAACAGTATTCAACAGATTAAAGCACATACAAAATATCTTTGCTTTATTTCACGTATAAGTACTAAATAAACTTTGTTGCAACATTAAAAGTCAGATAAACATATAGAGAAATACTTGCATAGTATGAATTTTCCATTCCTGATTTTTGTAGCATAGTTGGCAAACTAGCCTGCTTTATTGTGAGTTCCAAGCTCAGAAGTCAAGATTTCTGAATTTCAAATTTGAAAAGTCAACTGGAATGTCTTGGAAGTAAAAATTTGGATTAGGAAAGTTGAAAACTCCTCAACAGTTTCGATCTCAAAATCTCATAGCCATGTTGGATCTCATAATCCAACATGGCTGCCTTGAGCGTAATAAAGTAAATCCTAATAAAAATGTTAAAAGTTTAGCCCGAAAATCTCAAAGTTCTCTGCTTGAAATGGAAGGAAATGTTTTTTTACTTGTCCAAGGATTATTTAAAAAGTGCAGTTTTATTTTGGAGGTGCTGGAGACCAGCTATGGTCCACTTCTGGTCATGTGAAACAGAACTTAACCTAAAGAAATGCATCAGGATGATAAAGGAAAACAAAGCATCGCTGCTTTACTACGACCCGTTTCCATTTTTAATTTTCAGGTKAAGGTGCTTGAGCTGGAGACTCAGCTGGAGAACGAGCGTCTGCGTTTGGGTGAGCTGAGGAAGAAACACTACGATGTGGCTGGAGTTCCTCTAGAGCAGGTTTCTGAGGGGAACGGGGACACTTCGCTGGTCCAACCTGGCCGTCTGGTCACCATGTCGCCAAAACCCAGCAAGCCTGCTCTCTCAAAGAAACCTACGTTGGGTCAAAAACCCAACATCCCACCCAAAAGCATAGTAAGTGTACATTTTCAGTGAATGAAGCTTTAAATTAACGCCTTAAAACCCTTTACTTTAATTCACGTTTAACAGGAARATACAGAACAGTTCATTTTGTGCAAATGTTTTAACATCTAGTTAATGAATAAGATAAAAAAAAATGACTGAAACATGGCTTATCAATAATTTATTTATTTTTCCGCAGTTCAAGTAAAAGCTGAACCAGAGGATGGGAAAGCTTCACTCCGAGATGCCTGGATTTAGTGAACAGTTCCTTTAAGTTGCATGTCGACAATCCTGTGTGTCAACTTGCTTCTGCTTTTGTCTTTTGTTACTTTGTTCTTTTTTTCTACTAAAATGGCCCAGATTGTTATTTTCTAACCTTTTATGTTGACAAGGGTTATATTTTTGTGAACCACTGTCTCTTCTTTTTTTTCCCCTTAACGTAAAAACACAATAAAGGTATAATTCTTTTAATTTAAATATATAACATTGAGAACAAATATTCATTATTTTAGGTGYCTTTTAAATTATTTTCTGCATTACTATATTTTTATTTAAGTACTACCATTCCTTTTTTTAACAATACAATCAGAAATGCATACAGCCGTGATAGGTCAAGTTAATTTTGATCATGTTAATGGCAGCCTTTTTGCACTGTTTGAAACATCACTGTTTTCTTTATGTGCGTACACTGTTCTGTAGTGTTTTATATTATAATGGTGAGGGAAAGTAGGGGAACACTCAATGCGTGCACATGTTGTTACAGAAGTTCGACATACTTCTAGCTTTGCCTTTGCGTGCAAAATGGCTTCTWCKCTTAGCTTAAGATTGTCTTGGAGGCCTTGAAATATACTTTACAAATGTGTTAAGTAATACCTGTAAAATAATATACAATACTGTATAGGATGGTGCAACTGATTGCATTTATCTCTTGAATGTCCCTTTAAATGAGAAGCAGGATATTTTACAGCATATAGACAGGTTTAGTGCTTGCACAACAATGGATGTAGGTGTTCTAACTGTCAAATGCTTCTTTTTAGGCTGAAAATAAAAATGTAGGTTAGATAATGAACACTATCAAGGTTTTAAGTCTTTTTTTGCCTCTAGTAGCCTTCCGTACAGGGCCTTAAAATGCATCTTTTTGTGCTCTGTTTTTATTTTCTCTGTGCGAAATGTCTTTATATCTCAGATCTGTTAATATATTTTAGTAAAGATGTTGGTGGCTTTTCCTTGTAAGAAGTGTAAATGTAAGACAATAAATGTTTGATTTGATTTTCCAGTGTGTTGCTTTTTTCTTTTTATTTTGATTTGTTGGGTATAATTTGAAATTTTTAGTTTTTTGAAAAGTTTAATATACAGTAAGTCAATTGCAGTACATTTAAAGCTGTTGTGTTGTCTGTGTCAATAAGGTGAATTAAACCAACATTTTAAATAAGTTGGTTAAAATACTTTGTGTTCTTGCACACAYATGACAACTTTAATGCATACGGTACATTTTTAAGAAGTGTGGCAAAGATATGTAACTGCCTTTTACAATTACTTGTTTTGGTGGGTCACTGAAAGCCAAATTATGATCATAGAAGGTAATCACAAACATTTTGACATGCGCAGTAGAGCTATGATAAATTGGGAGGAGGGATGATGCCTTCATGGCAGCTAAAATTTTTTTAATAGAGCACCCGTCTTTAAGGGTACATGCAATTATTTCAAATAAAATATGTATTCCTGATATCATGTAGTTAGATTAGGCTTTTTGTTGCTTATAAGTTATTTATAAGCGCTTTTGTTGTTGATACTGCCCAGTCAGGATTGTTATTTTTTAGCCCTTTAAACACGTAAAGTTCAAATTTCCGAGTTTTTGTGAGGACGTGAACACAGCATCAGCAGTCCAACTGCTGCGAAGCGTCAACAAAGTCAAACAAGTTTTTTCACCTCGAAGACGCTTCGGCTAGCTTCCGTAAACTAATTTCTTCGCAAAAAAAAAAAAATGCCGCCGTATTCGGATTGTGAGAAGAAACAGAGACATGTCGAATGTTAAATGTGTAAATAAAAAGCACGGGAACAGGCAGAAATCCGCGTTATGTCGGCGGCTCTCGACAGACCTGCGGAGGAGCTCACCGTCATGGACGTGTACGACGTAGCGGCGGCGCTCGGGCAGGAGTTTGAGCGGGTCATAGACCGGTTTGGGTGCGAGTGTCTGGTCGGAGTGGTGCCCCGGGTGGTACGGGTTCTGGAGCTGCTGGAGGTACTGGTGAGCCGTGCACCCGCCTCACAGGAGACCGACGAGCTGCGGCGGGAGCTGGACAGGCTGCGGCAGGAGAGGAGCGACAGATACGAGCAGGAAAGGAAGCATCAGAAGGTGACAGACTTATTTAGTTTTATTACCTACTTTATTATTCAGAGGGAACTTGTATTTAACTTGTGTGTAACTTTTTCTGAAGCTTTTCAATGCAACTTCAAGTTAACTTTTTAAAACTTTTTGAGTAATTTATCTCAGTAAATGAAACAATCTAAGAAAGTCTGATGAAATTGTAACAATAAAGTGACTTAACACATTTCACATTTATCTTAACTGTTATGTATTTTCTGGTAAATCTCTAGTTTTGCTTAGTAAAACCAAATGACAGCAACACAGATCATAGTTAATCATTAAAACACATAGCCATAATTTAATTTTGGGAAGAAAAAGGCGCAGATACTATTTTTCTTCTTTCTGTTGCCTTTCATTTAATTTGTGATTTGTATTTTTATTGTATATAAA